ATTAAATCCTAATTTTAATTTTTTTAAAAGAACAATTCAAGGCTTAGAAAATACCATACCTTTCAGTGCCTGTTAGAAAGATAAGTCATAATTATGACATTTAATTATTTACTGAGATTCTTTGGATGCTTTTTCAAAATAATAATATCGTTTTCTTCTTTTTCTTTTTAGAATACATAGAATACATCTTTAATTTTCCTTTTCTTAGGAAAGGACTACATGAATGATCTGTTTTGTAATTTATCTTCACTGTCTGATGCACAGATGAACTAAAGTCATATAGCTCTTTGCCAACTTTTGAAATAATGCAATATTTTCAAAGTTAAATTTAGAATGTGCCATCTAATAAAAATCTACCTATAGATTTTTGTGAATTCTTTTCTCTGTGCTCTCAGTAAATCAGTGCATTTTTCTTTTCCAGCTGATCCTATAAGGGAAGGTACAATTTAATTACTGAATATTAGCTGTGTGGCCCAGTTTACAGTCCTTCAAACTCAGCCAGCTCTACAGTTAAAGGAAGCAGTTAACTTATACCATTAAACAGAATCAGTTCTCCATTTAAAACTCCAGTCTCAAGCTATGTTTGCCCTTATGTTCAAAGACTGATTTTTATTTGAATTTAAGTCGTTTGGAGGGATAGTGAATGGTGGACCTACATTGTCCTTTATTTAATTGGTGTCTTTTAGTGTGTTGGCAAAAACTTTGCAGAAGCCTTAAAGCATGAATATTTTTTTAAAAAAGAATAACAAGAAAAAATATCAAAACAAACTCTTTTAGAATTGCCTAAATCCTTGGAATGTTGTTGTTAATGTTTGGTGCCAGTGAGCGGCTGCAGCCACAGCAATCTTGTGTACAACACAACAAAGCCATGCCAGATTCTGAGCCATCCGCACACCTCCACTGCGCTCAAGCCCTTCCCGGCAGCCACCGTATCAGGCCTTGTTGTGGAGGGCCTGCTTCTGCTTCGCTGATTCCTTTCCTGAGCATGACGTCCTCGTGCAGCATCTGGCCCCTTCTGATCCTACCTGATCGAAGAATGTGAAACCACCTCTCACTATTCCTTACCTCTACGGAACACTCTGGCTGTTAGAATCATTCAGATACATAAACCTAAACGAAGATTTCCTCTTAAGTTTTTTCAGCTCTAAAGAAATAGCCTGATGCCATTAGTGAGAGCACCTTGAATCAATTTCATTTGTCTCCTGTCATTAACCTCAGTATGCCCTCTCAAGAGCACTACAGTCTGAAATTTAAGGAGTCATTTAAAATATAACCGAATTTTGCCCTAAACATCTCCTACTCCATTTTGTTAGGGTAATTAAGTATTATTGTAACATCCTTCCAGTATTTAGATCTGTTTCTCATTAAAGGCAATATTTGATTATAAAGTCTTTTTAAAGACCCTTTTAAAACCTTGAGTTCTTTTTGAACTTAAACTATTTTTAATTGTAAAATTATTAAATGTAATAAAAACGTGCCTGTTAGAGATATGAATGCACTCTCTAACAATATCTAATACTGGGTCTCATGATTCAAAATTATTTTACAGATGAGGCAAGAACCCTTTACATTTGGTGACTGGTCTCCTTGGTTTCCCCCGTTGCCTGTTCCTGTTATCATTCCATCTGCAGAAGAGCTGAGATTTCTGAACTCTGTTTACACCAGAGTTCATCATATAAGGCTGAATTTCAATTTCACCAAAGGTCCAAGGCTATACCCGTCCTATTGCAATAGCTCAAAGCCAAGTTCAGTTGATTCGATCCATTTGTTCCAAATAAATGAATCCCAAAGAAAAGAATCAATACCTACAAGTTGAGTCTTATACATAATCTTGGACCTAAGGATTACACACACAAACACAAGTTGATGAGTTCCTGTGAAGAAAAACTTTTCTTATTAATTCAGTCTTAAGAACCCTCTTTCCTCCATTTGAGAATGAAATTCTGGAAATAACATGAAGGATGACAAAACTTGGTTTCTATTTCCAGAAAGTTAGATTCAGTTCCCTGGAGGGAATTTTAAAATATTTGGACTGGAGCAATGTTTCAGAGCCACAAAGAAAATGAAATAAGGATTATATTCCTCCTCTCTGTGATTATCTTTCCCCATAGCACCTAGGGGAGGCTCTGTAAGATCCTTCTGGATTCAAAGCCGGTGATATGTGGTTTCTGGAGGCAGGCAAGCCGTTGATGGCACAGCATAAGCAGAGTTCAGTGGATGTGGTACTCATTCTTTACGTGACTATCCAGTGGGGTGAGCTGGATGGTTTACGTCCTGACTGAAGGGTTAGGCGCTGGGCTCTGTGGTTCCCAAAGTGGCTGCTACAGTTGATTGGAATGATATAAACGACTGGATCCGTGTCTGGCTGTAGTTCTGCTTTACGTGTATGGGCTTCATAGAGATGGTTAGTTTTACAAAAGTGCCTGAGTTGGCTCAACAGTTAAGAGAATGATTTTTGCGTATGATTTGCATGCTTAATGTACTAACACAGAAATGTTCCCATAACCCTTTGCTTCACCGGACCCATCCCCATCCTTCCAACGCAACCCATGGTACTCTCAGCTCCTCCCATCTCTGTTCAGGCTTTCTGGAAACTGCCTGCTGAGCTCGGCCAAGGTGTACCCCAGTGAAACAATAACAGGGCTAACATGAATCAGCGCTTGGTTTGAGCTGTCATCTGTATGCACAGAATGGATCACAGAGTGGATCTGCCAACCTGAACCTCCTTCTCTGTCATTCCGCAGAGTTGTGTGCAAACTTCTGTTGTTCTGTTAACAGTGTTACTTGTGACTTAAATGTACAAATACCTGTTTGCTATGTTGTTGTATGCATTGTTGAGGGTGTGGGGAAAAGGGGAGGCATTGAATGGGGAACTAGATGGTGATGGGGGAGAACTTTATGTCAAGATTCCATAGGTGCATATTTTCAGAATCTTAAACACATTCATTTTAAAGGTTTTTGCAACTATTTTCAAAATCATATTAAAGTCCACATAGCCTACATTTTGAACCTTATGCTAATTTTTTGAGAGCTTGTTCCAGTTGAGATAATAAAATTTTGAGAAAAGAAGACAGAGAATGACTCAGAATAGGAAACAGGAGAAAACCATAACTGCAGTCTGTCATTGCTTTCTTACAAAATGAAAATCCATGTATATATAGAGAAACCTCAGGAGTCAATGAGTTAGGGCTAGGTCACAAAACAAGAAGATAAAGCAAACATAACAGATGATGTCCTGACATTCCCCACCGACAGGGGACAGGAGAATCAAACAGTAATCAGGTAAACCAGCAACTCTAGATGAAGTGACACTGAGAGCAGCCGCGAATAGAGCGCAGAGAAGTCAGAATGCTGACCCATCACTCTCCCCAGTGAGAACCCAGGAAACAGCGTGATGGGAACCTTGTCCTTCCTGCCGCTGGGCTCAACAAGCTCAAGGTAAAAAAAGCTTTGATAAAAAGGCCTGCCCAAAAGCAGTTTGAAATCTCCAGAAAAGGCAATACCTTTGCCTAAAACTTGGCACATGAGATGGGCTGCTAATATTTTCAATCTAACACAAGTCTAAACCATGCTGAACAAAATATTGGTCATCCTCCCCAAAGCACACACTGTGTTTAAACCCTTCCTAGAGAAGTGTGGTCTTTAACCTTTGGATGGTTCTAGATCCTTTCAAAGAATTTCATGAAAGCTATGCATTTTTGCCCCCACAGTGTATTCCTACATCTAGAATTCAGGGTTCTTGTCCCAAACACTTTGGAAATCCTACATTGACAGTCCTCCAGAATGCCAACCCATTCACACCTACTTCTAACAGATTTGGTCTCTAACCAGGGCTTTATTCAGTTTGAGAACATATAAAACCTCTTTACTCTTTACCAGGTAATTTTTTTTAATTCTGTAAAATCATGTGAATCAAGGCTAGAAGAAATATATCTACTCAGATAAAGAATTGAATTTTTTTTTAATTTTTTTTTATTATTTTTTATTATTTTGTGTGCGTGTACCGTCAAATCAGATCTGACTGGTACAGGAGGATATTGCACCTCCTTCTCCGGCAGAGCATCTGGTGGATTCGAACCGTGTTCCTTTGATCCAGATTTTTTTCTCAGCGAAAGAATAAGACAATCACTTATGTAATATGAAAATTAGACCACAGTGTAAGAAAAGACTTGTCAACACAAGCCTTTCCTGGAGATGTTTGTACTAAACAGTTACAGTAAAATAAAGCAGGAGAGAGCTAATCTCATAGGAAACCATCAGTGAAATAATTGGGCATGTATCTGGCTCAGTGAGTTTCTGCTTTATATGAAATATCAGCATAGGAGAGTGTGCTTGTGTTTGAGAATCAGAATCCTCAAACACATGCATATATGCACATAGATCCAGACTTGGTATTTAAATATTTAATGGCCTTTAGTGTTTTTGGAGTAAAATAGCTATAAATATGTAAACTCGTCATGATGACATTATTTCTAAACAGTTGAATTCATGTAAGAGAAACTCATTGTCATCTATGAATATATTCCCTTTTGAAAACTGACCTAAGATCATACTTAGACAACTTTTATCCAGAGAGAGATGATGGTAGGTATCATATTTAGGAATTTAAATGGAATTCTGAATTCTAAATAAAAGCACTTCACCCTGAAAACTTCCATCAAGTTTAAAAAAACAGACAATTCTTTCAAAGATTGTATGTTCTTTTCTGTTGTATAACACCATCTATCAATGAATAGCTAGTTTAAGAATAGTTTTGTAGTTTTAAAAAATTCCTTACATTAGACAGGCATTCTAAAAATAGAAACATTCAAAAGTCAACTTTGAGGACAGTTATGCTAATACACATAAAAGTAACCGAGCATCAGTAAGAACAGTGTATACACATATAATACACCTAACCACATCTGTGAGCGTGTGTAAATAAGATGAACTCAGGTTAGTTGTTAGGGAATGGATTTTGCCTGTTGTTCACATTATGTCTGGAATAAATATGATTTCAGACAGGAGACTGGGGAGAACCTTCTATTACGTTGCGACCTCCGAATGAAGCCACAGCCTCAACTCCAGTACAGTATTGGCAGCATCATCCCGAAAAGCTCATCTTCCAATCGTGTGATTACAAAGCTTTCGTAAGTTCCTCCATCTTCTGTACTGGGGTCCCGATAGGGGTAGAAGGCATATCTTTGGTTAGTTTTCTTTCATAAGAAAAGAAGGTGCAGTACTTTCTCTTTTTAAGGTAGCCAGCCTATTCAGAGAGAAAGTTAAAATAGTGCTTTTCACCCTTTGTCATGTCCTTTCTTTTTCACTCTTTTATTCTTGTGAGCTTTAGATCTGTTTTTGGTTTCTTACATAGTTGTATTTTTAAAAGAAGTGGGGTGAAGCGCAATTCTAAAACAAAAATCAGTATAAATGCCAGCATGTATGTACTTCTGCCCTCACTCCCCAGTGGTCTCAAATGTTGGGGCTACCACTTCATATAAATACAGGTTCTTTTCACTTCCCCATTCAGATTAGATCACTGTTGTTTTATTTTGGGAGATGAGAGACTTAGTTATGCTTAGCTGAGAATTATGAGTAATGTGAACAGGTAAATGTTCAAAAGATGTGTAGGCTTTGCAGCAGGTGGTGGTTGTCATGACTACCACAGGAAAAATACCTGAACCCTCTGTATTGAATTGAAACTGCCTCTCTCAATAAGAAATGTTTCAATTAGGGTAAACGTTCTTGAAAGAATTGAAAAGATAAGAATTTGACCCAGATCAGATTTCTTGATGTGATGAAGATGTAAACAGTCTCCAAGCAAAGCAAGCTTCCTTTTTGATCCTGTGCTGTCTGCTCCTCTCCTATTGCTTCCTTACCTCGCAGCATTGGGTGTATTTCAGCTGTAATGTCCCCATCACTGCAGCACTGAAATGCTTGCTGCTTTTTTCCAAAACTCAAACCTCTTTATCTCTTCACTTTTTTGGAACACCAAACCTTTCTTCAATGCCCATGACCCAGCCCTCTGCTATGTTGCCTGGGGTACCCGCTCTTGAGTCAGAGGTTACTCATCTTACACAACCAGCTCTGTTTCTGCAGAGTACCTCCCTCTGGCTCAGCGAATATTGTTTCATCTTGTTTTTACGGTTTTTTTTTAAATTGTGATTTGTAGTAAAGTTTACAAAGCATCCCGGTGGGTTTTTTCCCTTCAGTTAATAACTCATGCCTATTTTGTCCCATAACATTGATTATATATTGTGTCTGATTGTCCATTCATTCTACATTGTAAGAAGCATCCTATGAATCCCTTCTAAAATAATTTTTTTTACTTTTGAAAGGGAGTGTGGAAGACTTTTCTTTTTTAAAAAAAAAATTTACTGTTTTGTGTGTATGTGTGCGTACCATCAAATCGGATCTGACTGGTACAGGAATAGATTACCCCTCCTTCTCCAACATGTGGTAGAATTGAACTGTGAGCCTCTGGGACTGCAGTACAGCTTCTTGCCACTAGGCCACACGACTTTTTTGTTTTTGACATTTCAGCCAACCAACCATTGGTCTTGGAATCAAGTCCGCTCCCTGGGTTTCAGAGTAGAGCCATGTTCCTTAAGGATTTCTGTGTCTGTGGTTTGGGGAAGACTTGGCTTCTGAAATGACTGGGTATACACAGAACTCAAAACCACCCAGGGCCTCCTGGAGGCTATCAGGGAGAGAGACAACCAAAAGAGGAAGGAATCCTGGAAGTTGTACAGATTGAAGACTAGTCAGTTGATGCAAAGGCAGAAACAGATATTTTGCTTACAACTATTTGCACTCAGCGTGAGTGGCACTTTGCAGCACCGCAGTGTTAGATGAGTGCAGAGAGGCTGGTAATTCCTAGGACTCACATTTCCCATGCTGCTTCCACCTTTATTAAGTCTTCCAAGTGTCTGTTTGCAACAGGGAATCGGGATTCAGCTTTCTCTGTTGTGAAACACACCCTTTCTCTCTCTACCCTTCTCCATCTCCCCGTTCTCAGGTGGATCACCCATAGGACACACAGCTGTGAATGAAAAAGGTCCAAAAATGCATCTTTGCCTAAGAACAGTCCAACATTAATTACCTATGCAATCAAATAAGCCCAAATGGGGTACATGTTCCTCAGCTTCTCAGCTGTCTCATACAACCCTGTAATTACATACATAGTGGCGTGATTTCTTTTTTGCAGACACTGCTGCCTCAGGAAGAAGAGAAAACATTTTTAGATGCCCCATTTTGCAGTTAAATATGATTTGAAATATAGTCTCTTTAGAAAATGCTGCAACTTACTATAAAGAGCAATTTGCTCTCCCCAGAATTTTTGGTCATTGGGCTGCATTGATTGGTTAGGATTAGTTGGTTCGCTTTTAAAGTTTTACAGTAATTTATAGCCGAGAAGCCTAGATCTTGATATTTCCCCAGTTTCTTTTTAAATCTTTACTGAGTGTTATGTGTTCTTTTTGATAAACCATTGCATTTTTTTATTTTAGTATTTAGGTTCTATGCTGATAAAAGAGCTCAGGGGGACAGAATCCACCCAGGATGCTTGTGCAAAAATGCGGGTAAGTTTGCTAAACTATGTTACTCCTCGTAACTGTAATAGTAAGGGTGCATATAAATTGCCACATTTCAAATTACAGATTTCTTTGCCTGTTACCTAAAAAGGCGTTTGGTTTTGTTCATGCTTCTATCTGAATTTATCTCACTGTAGTTTCAAGGTATGTATCAATTATGTTGATATTTGTCTATTACATTGCAATTACTCTGATTTTGAAAACTAACATTAAAAAAAACCCTTTAACATTTATGCATATGCATTGGCCATTCTGAAAATTAGGAAAGAAATAAGCATCTTAGTTTACTACAAGAAAATGTTTTTAAGTATCCAGTTGGCATTCTGAAAATATTTATTGAAAAGATCTCTGTTGTTGTTGTTACATACTGTCAAGTTGCCTGCGACTCATAGCAACCCTATGTACAACAGCTCTGAACCCTGCTCTATCCTATGCCAATCTCACTGTCTCTAACACACCTACTCCCATAACCCCAGTCACTGAATGAATCCACCTCATAGAAGGTCTTTCCCTCCTGCGCTGTCCCTCCACCCTCCCAAGCATGATGTCCCTCTCCAAGGACTGGTCCCTCCTTGCACCATGTCCAAAGTATGCCAGGTGAAGCCTCAAAATCCTTACCTACAAGGAGCAGCCTGGCTTCACCCTCTCCAGGACGAACTTCTAGTCAACCAAAAATTATCAAATGCAAAAGCACTGGGAGTATATGATGACACCACTGTTGTTGAGTCCCCATCAGTTGTTTCTCTGTGACCGCATACAACAGAAAGGAACACTGCTCAGCCCTGCACCGTCCTCACCATGATGAAATTTGTAGCCACTGTGTTTGTCTAGTTGAAGAAGCTCTTCCTCTGTGTTGCTAAAGCTCTACTTTACTGGACATACTATCCTCCTCTCCAGGAAGTGGTTCCTCCTAATAGCATGGCCAAACTACCCAAGATGCAGTCTCACCATCTTTGACTCACAGGAACATTCTGGCTGTATTGCTTCCAAGACAGATTTGCGTGTTTTCTCGGATGTCCATGGTACATCCAGTTTTCTTCACAATTCAAAGGCATCTGTTCTTCTTTGATTTTCTTTATTAGTTATTCAGCTTTCACATGGATATGAATCACCTGAAAATGCCCTGGCTTGGATAAGGCTGGCTTACTTTAATCTTCTGAGTAGAAAGTTTATATTCCTTATGTGGCTTCTTAATTATTCTGTGTTTTTAAGTATAAGATGTAAGTGGGGAAATCAACTTAATTTAGACCATACTAGGATAGGAAAGGTTGGCTAAATGTCAAGTGCTGTGATTAGTAACAGTGGGTCATGCTCGGGTCAAATCTCACCCATATTACAGGTCCACCTTAGCTTTTTCGTTCATTTGTTCTTATTCTTTGTTCGTAGTAGATTTATAGAGGATATGAGCTGACTTTAAGTACAAGATCTCATGATAGATGGAGAAAAGATTGAGGTGTTATTAATTATTTCATCTTACTTGGATCCACAATATATACTCTTGGCACCAGCAGTCATGAAATCAAAAGATGAGTTGCACAGGGGGAAAAAGTCCTATCAAGGACCTATCCAGAGTTCTAAAGAGCAACATGGTCAATTTAGAAACTGAGGAGCAACAAATCCAGACCATGGTTTTCTTAACTGTTTGCTGCGAATCTGAGAACTGAACAATGACTGAGGAAGACAGAAGAAGAATTGATGCCTTTGAGTTGTGGTGCTGGAGAAAAGTATTGAACACAGCGTGGACTGCCAAGAGAACAAATAGATCTGCCCCAGAGAGGGTGAAACCAGTTTGCTCCTTGGAGGCAAGGATTTTGAAGCTCTATCTCGCATACTTTGGCTCCTTGGAGGCAAGGATTTTGAAACTCTATCTCGCATACTTTGGACATGTTGCCAGGAAGGACCAGTTCTTGGAAGGTTAGGTGGTCAGCACAGGAGAGGAAGAGATTGACATAGTAACTGCAGCAGTGTTGTCAGGTGTGTCTGAGACATAACCTGTGAGTGAAGTTGGCTCAGGAAAGGGCAGGGTTCGGAACCATTGTTCATAGGTTCCCTATGAGTCATAGTTGACAACAACAACAATCAGTACAAGAATATTAGGCTGAGGGAGCACGGATGGTACAATGATTAAGTGTTGAGCTATTGACCAAAGGTTGACAATTCAAATATGCCCATGGACTCTAGGAGAAAAATCTGGCCATCTACCCTCCTAAAGAGTACAGCATAGAAAACTCTATGGGACAGTTCTACTCTGCCACCTGGGGTAGCTATGATTTCATGGTCCCCCAACAACAAGGTTGAAGATGATACCAAGCTGATTTAATATAGCAAATAATCAAAACCAGACCTATGAGTCATAGCAGGTGAAACTTGGCTTTCATTTCTGGCATTTCTTTTATATGAACAGTTTGTGGTGGAAAATATTAAAAAAGCATAAGTGAACTAAAATATTTATGAAGGTAAGCATGAAATATTTCTTGTCTGGCTAAATATATATGATAAGAAGCTGCACTGCAGTCCCAAAGGCTAAAGGTTCAAATCCACCAGCTCCTTCGCAGGAAAAAGATGGGCCATCTCCTGTGTTATTTATGGCCTCTGAAAACCCACTGGAGGGCACAGATGAGACGGTTCCATCTTGACGGCAACAACAATTAATAAAAATTAGACTTGTGCATGTGAGCAAAATAGTTAATGGGGAGAACCCTAAAATCATTATATTTCCATCCACTTGCCGGGTTGTACGTAAATTGTCAGTACCATGAAATTCTTACCCCGTACGGTGTTTATTGGGGCTGGGGGACAACTCTGAGTTCTCACTGCGTTTCTCGAAGTTTGAGGTGTTGCTGGCTGTTGGTGAATAAGCTCTGACTCCTGGCAGACTTAGTGGAACAGAGGAAAACCCAGGAGTTCCTGGCCCTCCTCCTCGTGTTCGGGATGTCTGAGTCTGAGTCAGTCGGGGCTGCTGTGTCAGTCATCAGAGCTTTTCGCTTCCTTGATACTTGACCAGACACAATGACTTTTTAAATGATTGGTCTTTCCTGGTCATGTGTCCAAAGTAAGCCAGCCAGTCTCCTCATCGTCCCTCCTCAGGAGCTTTCTGGTTGTCTGTCTTCCAATTGATTTGTTTTAGCTTCTGGGCCTAAGAGAGGCCTTTTTCATCATAATGATAACATGGCAACCACTAATAATTGTCTTGTGATGTGCCTGACTCTACGTTGCTGTTGTGAGGTGCCATCAAGTCAGTTACATCTCAGAGTTGACCTAGGAACACACTAAAGCCCATCGTTAACAGTCACAGTGTAGTTGTGGACCCTCCTTCCTCTCTGACCCTCCACCTTTCCAAGCATGATGTCCTTCTCCAAGGACTGGCCCCTCCTAACAGCCAAAATGCTCTGCATATCTCATTTAATTGCTACAATCCTATGAGATTAATACAGTTATTCTTCACATTGAAATTTGAAGAAACTGAGCCTGAGAGGTGGAATAACTTGCCCAAGGTCACCCCATAATGAACTGCCAAGACGAGACTGAATTTCAGGTCTCTTATGGACTATATTCTCCTGCTCTTCTGGGCCTTTTTTCTTACCTAAAAATTAGGTGCTTTGGACCAAATGCCCTTAAGAATTATTCTTGGTTTTTAAGACTGATACTCGTATATTCTAAATATATATCTGCTCTAAATGATGTCACCAATGAGAAAGCTTCTCAGTCATCAAGCCTCATAATAATTGTAGCTATATTCATGAGCATCTCTGAGAAATTAATTTGGCATCTCTGATTTAATAACTTTGAGTCCAGCTATTCAGTACTATAATCAGCATAAATACTGCATTGAAAATTCAACTCGATCTGTGATTTGAATTTCAGTCAATTTCTTAAAATTGAATGAATCTGAAAACCCATTCTGAGAGCAATAACAAAGCCATTTTAATAATCTCCGTGGAGAATAATTTATTTAAATACATTTCTATTGCTTAAAATGAAGCATACTGAAAACTATCTATTTAGAAGCTATTCTTCTGTTTTGTGCATTTTTCTAGCTTGCTACTCTTGGTGTTTATTTTGGGTAGTTTACATGAAAATAGAAACTTTATTGCTTCTTTTAATATCATAAACTCTTATTTCTCATCTTGATTAAATAAATTATATCTGTTTTGGATACAATAGCTTAAGCAGTCAGCAGGTTCATTGGAGCCTTTCAATACCAGATGTGTAGGATTTATTTTCTGGGACTCTGTATTGTGATTTAGAGTTCTCATCCAACAGTGCAGATCTCAGCTTTCAGTAAATTTTCACTTTGAACTCAAAGGTGCTATTTTCTGTTTACAACACGGTGGCATTTTCAGCCACAACTCCCAGAAGAATCAGATGTCTTATGGGAAATACTTCCAGAATGCAGGTCTTCTTGAAAGCTGATGTACAATAATGCTATGAGACCCAGGTATTACATAAGAACATTTTTCTTGGTTTTCCCTTTTAATGGTATATATATATGTGTGTGTGTGTGTGTGTGTGTGTGTGTGTGTGTTTCATTTCTACAGTAAGCATATTTAAATAAAGACATAAAAACTTCTTTCCCAGAGTGTTTGCTTATTCTGAGGAAGGCTTCTGTACAGAGACCTTGCTAATAACAAAGGTAACTGAGAATTGACTGGTGTCCTCATAATGCTAATGACACCCAAGAGAGGGAAGGCCCTCGTTAGCCTGGAGGATCATCATAATCCATCCCAAGAATGAGAGATGTTGTGGTTTGCCAATGAGTCAACACTGACTCCTATGGACTCTCTAAGAGAGAGTCAAAAACTAGCCCATAGGGTTTCCTAGATTGGAATCTTTACAGAAGCAAATGATCAGATCTTGCTCCGGCAAAGTGATAGTGAGAGTGAAGTGACAGTCAGTTTGCACCCAGGTGTTTAAGTAACCATTACACCACCAAGGTCCTTCTGCTCAGGAGAAATGAGCTTATTATTGCTAAGCTCAGTTACCACCTA